CATTACAGTGCTAAGCTGTGGACAGTGGGGGTTGACTGTTGCGGGCCCATCAAATATCCCCACAAAACGCGCCACAAACTCCGGTGTAATGGCTGTGGGAAGCGGGGTCCAACTTAGCAGTTTACAGCCACTCCGAGACGCGGCACAACTGCGCACCTGTTGACAATGTTCGTTTACAAACTACCACCCCGTCGTAGTAGCTACTTTCCATAACTTAATGACTCACAGCATTGGCTATGATTTGCCCGTTGTTGGTCGTAAAAGAGCCTTCAGAGGACCACTTGCCTCTCTTCCTCTTCGCCGTTGGTTGGGAGTCGGTCAGGTCACGTGATTTTGTGTGAGTCGATAGACGGGTAGCGTCCGCGTCTACCCCCCCCCCCCTCGTGTGCGTAGCCTCGCCCGATACAGCGTCTACAGTCGTTTTTGAACATCGTACTCACCAATGAGGAACTTACGATTAACGTGATGACAGTGAGTAGGCCCCTGGGGCGCAGTGAGCATGCAACATTGCTTTTCTGCTACGCTGTACAGTCCAACAGGGAAATCGAAGATGCCCGCATATTAACACATCAAAACATTTTATCCGACCTCATCAAGATTACTGATCGGTCGTTTCTCGCAGAAAAACCTCCGATGCCGCATGGGGAAAGTTCGTCAAACATTTTAACACTTTCGTAACAAACGCATCAGAGAGTAATATCCTCAGCTCGAAAAATGTAAAATCCTTCCTGAGGAGCAGGACACGGAAACGAATGATCCTGAGAGACTCAGTTTGGAAAGACCACCAATCCGATCCAAACGCCGGAAACTGGATTGCCTATATAACTGAGCGAAACCACTGTGTTAAACTGCCCCGTGAATATAAATTCAAACATTAACAGAATTTGGCGAAGCTGCGATTCTAAAATATTTTACAGACGTGTTAACAAACTTTGCAAAGTACAGTGTGACATACCGCCTATAAACACCGTCAATGGCCAGCGGCGAACAGCCCAAGAAGCAGCTAATACTTTCAGACATCACCATCAGGACTTAGCCACATCTCCTTCACAGCTGCGGATGTGCTGAAACGAATGATGTCACTACACGAGTACTGTTCACTTGGTCCTGATGACATGCTCCCCAAGTCGCTGAAGATAGTTGCCACGAGCTTAGCTGAACCACCATACTAGTTTCTCCGGCGCTCTCTCGACGAGCTGCAAGTCCCAGCAATGTGGAAGCGTAGAATAGTCGACCACAATTATAAGGAAGGCAATAGCGCAGTACCCCCAAAGCACCGTCCGATTACTCTTCTTCCTGTACTTACGAAAGTCATAAAATCTGTCGTTGCAAAAGCACACATGAGATATTTAGAAAGTTACTATAGCATCGTGCAAGAGCATCATGTATTCCAATAAAATTGTTCATGTACCACGAATCTTTTGTTAGCTCGTGCTAGCTGGACTGAATCCATCGATTCTAGAGAAATAGATGCTGCTTACCTTGAACACCGGATTCTACTTCACAAGCCTCGGAACTATGGGATCGGTGATTCTATCATAGGCTGGATACATTCATCCCTACTCCAATGATACTTGAATGCGCGAGCTCGTAGCGCCCTATCCGATCCCATATATGTTCACTATAACATCCCTTAAGGCTACGTAGTAGACCACGTGATTCATAGATTACATAAACAACCTCGCAGGAGTGCTGACGCCGAACTTTCGCCTCTTTGCCGATGATCTCAAGATTTGGCGAACAATCAAGGGAGTAAACGACCACATAGCATTGCAAAGTGATCTCGACAGCGTTTCGAATGGCCACGCTTGAGTTTAACCCTATCAAGTGCAAAATAATGAGCAGACGCCACCAGAGATCACGACTAGGAGATCACGTTCTGCAGTGCGCTTCCCTTGAAATTTATCTTGGAGTGCTCCTGCAGGACGACCTGGGATATTCTAGACAGATTGAGAAAGCAGTGAAAATCGGCAGCCAACATTAGGGCCAGTTGCGGAAGACGTTTGGTTGGTCTGGTCTCACTTTCTTTTCACTAATGCTCTACGTCTGCGTGAGATCAGATGCAGCATACGGCATTCAGGTGTGGCACTACTGACAAATCATGATCTCACTGCTCTTGAAAATCCACAATGGAGGGGGACCGAAATTGTTACGGAACTGATCTACCTCCCTTACCAGTTGAAAGACTCTAGGAGTTTCTAGTGAACGATATCATCTGCGAAGTGATCTGGTGTTTGTGTACCAAATCCTAACCACATGTTTCGACGTTTATTGAAACTCAGGTGCAACACCTCACTGAGAGGCCACCAGTTGAAGTTGGCGACATAGTAGAGCCGGTGGAATGCCGCCGGGACTTTTACTCATTTCGAGTACCCCATCCGTGGAACTTGCTTCCGCATTTTGTCATATCTGTGTTGCTACGTGGTCCGAATTCAAAACTCGACTAATTGATGATGCATTACACCACGTGCAGCAAATAAGTTAATTCGTTACTGGGACAATGGATAACGTAACCAAACTGCGCACATGTGAAATTCTCGGTAAGGCAATCGCTATGCGATTTTCCTGATATGTCCATTTTTGATCTCAGCGTTTACCTAAGGGAAAACTGTTAAGCGTTTGCTCCTTTATCCGTGATAAATCCATCGTTTTGCAGACTGTTCATAGAAAAGTATATGAAAGGCGTATATTGAGAAGAAAAATGTACCGCAATGTAATGGGGCACTTTGTGGTGCTTTGCCTGGTGACCGCATCAAACAGCCCCCGGGCGTCGACCGTTATCTAACCGGCAAGCAGAAGACTTCCGTCGTTCGGCAAAGCTGAGTTGGCTGCGTCAGACGACTAGGAAGATTGGACTACGGCCAGAAGAACAGACTAGAATTAATGCGATCGTTTGTTGTAAACACCTGAGGTTAGCATTGATATGCAGTTAACTTATTGACACGCAAGTTACGAATGTTGCAGAGAACAGCGTTGGTCAGAGAAGTCACGACTTATCATAACAGCAGTAATTCATAATATGGCCTGGTGGCGGCGGTTACGCGGGCTCCATTCGTGATGGAGCAGGGAGTAGAACAATACTAACGAGTTCCGATAAGAGGAAACAGTCGTCTAATAGTAATGGTCAATACACATGAGCTGAGGGTGAGGAACACACACCAAGTTATGTGCCGCAAGACAAAAAGATAGGAGATTAAACGTTAGAGATTACAAAAGCTAAAAAAGTAACCATGCTAAAATCCCATTGTGCATTAGGTTTCAGATCGTTGTTGGAGGGGGAAGCTAAAGGGGTGGGGAGGGAGAAAGAGACGCACGACGTAAACGCCACTGAGGTCCGCTCCTCCTCATATCATCAAGTGTATCCAACTAGACGTGTACATCGTCCTACGGGCCCCGGCCCGGCAGTCGTGAGACGGCAACCGATGCCAAGTTCAAAGTGAGGGACTTTATTCCTCCTGACCAAGTCATCGCTTGACCACCCACCTCCTTCCTACATGCAAACCCCCGGTAGCACAAACAACGCACATCGAGCAGGTCGGTGTGCTGCCATGCGCAACATGTGGTCTAGCCATCGGAGTCTAGTGCGTGATATAGCGGTGCTGAACGGTCCAATCGGTTTTCGTGCACCAAATGCTTGACGCCGAACACGCCCATTGCTCACGCGGTGTTCCCACCAGACATGAGCTAAGATGCCAAGGCAGCGATGGTCGAACGCAACTAGCCTCTTTATGTCTGTCGACTTGATGGGCCGTACAGTAGGGTTGAACGGACCGCTGCATTGTAAATTCTGCTCTTCAGAGCGAGAGTGATGTCACATCGGCGTCACACGTGGCGGAGACTGGTAAAAGTGCGTCGAACTTTCGCAATACGGTTCGTGATCTCATCTTTAATTCCGAGGGCGCTAATATAGCTGACCAGATAGTTGAATTTCTCGACGACTTCCAGCTGATCCCAACCAAGGGTCAGTGCAGAGTGCGTCCCAGTCAATCCTAGAGAAGTATTTCGCATTCACAGGGTGCAAAGCATAAGCCGAAACCACTGACATCCAATGCTAATTTATCCAGTGCAACTTGGCACGTTCATGAGCTGTCACAGATGAGCGCAATGTCGTCGGCATACTCCAAGTCACATGAGAGCAGCTTCACACCTTCTAAGTCGAGCCCGGCAAACGCCGTTTCCGTGATTTCGTCAATGCCGAAGTTAAAGAGGAAAGGTGACAGCCAGCAAGCTAGTTTGACACTGCTGGAGATATTGAAGGGCGGCGAAAATGTGCCCTAAGCCATCACTCTGTCCGAAGTATGCGCGTACAGCGCTCGTATAAAATTTACGCATTTCTAGTGCGCTTGCAGCGTTGTAAAAGGACAACAAACTTGGAAATAACTGTAGATAAATCCCAAAGTATTAAATAAAAATTTGCTTATGAGTAGTAGGAAATATTAAGATTATTATCGCAGGTTTCCCAAATCGTTCGTCGAACAAAAGCGAATTCTAGGGATTCAGAGAGTGACGAAAAAGCGCTGGTGCGCCGCCGTCTGGGAGACTCGGGGAGAGCATCGCCAACTCGGTACGCATCCAGCAGTGGGTGTGAGGAATAAAGACAAGATCACAGCGTACTCGATAAATGGCAGTACAGTGGAACCTCAGATGTGTGCTCCTAGCAAGGAATGAGCCAAGAAATAGCAACTAGTGACTAATCGTGTTCGCATTAGCTTTTGACAATTGTAGGGACAAGAAAACTGCATTTCCATCGTAGGACCTGTGCCATAACAGCCGGAAGATGGGACCAGCACCGGCATTTATCCGTACCAACGCGAATGAAAAAGATGAGGTACAGAAAATGCGTCACATTGTAAGAGCGAACCGCAGTAAAGCCACCTGAAAGACAGACCATCAAAATACAGTAACAAAGGGATAGCGAAAAAGATTACAAAATACACGAGTCAGACAACACTGAGGGCTGCAATGTTGGTGTTGTTATTGGAACAGAGCTGCCATCGGATCTACAAGGCACTGGGATCCTGGACGTTGGGATCAAACTGCCAGGTGAATAGGTTGCCGTCCATCCCGCACGTGTAGAGCTCACGCATTTCGCAATTCCATATGCATGCACGAATCTAATGACGAAAGAAATAAATCATGGGAACCCACAGTGGATCAGAAGTAGATGGGCTAGATAAAGGAGAGAGACGATCTCCAAAAAGACCCGGAAAGCGCAATACAGCAGACGAATGAATGTAAAATCCAAAGCGTCAAAAACCCATAGATATCGAGGCATATAAACGAAAAATAGGAGCGTATGTGCTGAGCTCGCAAGATTCTAAAATATCAGGGATAAATGACGGAAAAGATCACACCAAACAGTCTGTTCCACAACTGCATGTGTGAAGAAAGTGAATCTCCTATTCGCATGTTTGAAAGAATACCGGGATCGGGCACTCAGATGTGGTGGGGATTGTCCCGATTTAGATTCGAAACGAGCTGTCCTCAGAGTGATCAGAGGTGTGAGGGCACGGTACTATGTCCATGGGTAGTAGCAAGATTTCAACCTCAGTCCGTGAACAAAACATCACTTCAAACAATAGTCATGCGAATGAAATAACTCAGGACTTTTCAGCTTTATCGCAAATTAATTTATCGTCCTACTTTTCAGTCGGTCCGGTTTTACCATCAGTGATATGAATTTTTATAAAGGTAAAGGCTGACCTTCCGAGTGGTTCCAGTGCCCGTGATGCAGATAACAGCTGCATTTACTCGAATGAAGAAAAGCGAAGTATACTAAGGTTGGAGTATCGGTGACGGTTACTAACTGGGATGGCTGCGTCCAAAACTGGCACACCGTTGTGTCGCTCACGCGGTCAGTCATGCGGTATGGACAGTGCTAATTGAGGCGATAGCCACTTGTGAGCACAGATTCTGAATATTAACCAATAAACTCATGAGAGACACCGGAAATGAAAGAAAGGAGAAGAATTCTGCAGTTCGATTGTCGCACAATAAAAAGTGGTAGCCGTGAGACACCTGCTCCATCAGGTAAATATGGCAACACAAAATAAGAGACCTACCTTATCGTAATGTCGATTAACAAGCTGTGTTTGAGCCTTTCGTTTCGCTGCGAAAGCCATAAACAGACGACTGCGATGAGGGACGTAGACGAAGGCGGACTCAGCACCCCAAGCCTCACCAGGTGGTCCGGACACGACTGCCATCCGAGAAGCGGCGTAGATCCGGCGCTTGCTAAGCCAAGGAGCACCCGAAGCAGTACGGGATTGCGAGCGGATTTCCACTCCTGTGATCCGCCCGATGGCTGTTCCTAAGTCCGAGGAAGTGTTCCAATCACGCGATCCACCGCTATCGGCATATACTGTACCGAAATTGACAGGGCGGAGTAAGGGTCTACCGGGAAGATTGGTGTTGTTGGTCACCACTTTTAGACCAGCCTCGTCGGGGCCAGCAGACCACATCCGTAGACACAAAGTATCCTCATTCGTTCCGGCACCTCCCCAAGAGAATAGGTGCAACCCATCGGGTGTGAAAGCCAGAGAGAGAACCGAACCGGTATGGGCGGCCGCTGAGGATACCGGCATATAGAAGAACACGGGGATGAAGCGCAGAAAACGGTAACAAATATACAAACCACCTGAGACAGCAACGTTTACGGAATGGCAAAGAGCCAACATCACTGACAGTAACATCTAAGGTCTAGATGTGACTTCCAAACGGAGTCACAGTCATATTGCACATTCAGTGAGAAAAAGCAATTAGGCGGTGCTTAAGGGCGAGGACATAAAAACGTGTCCAAAACGCACGAAGATTAAGATCGATTTAGTAGTGATTGCAAACTACTGAGATTGTGAGAAGTAGGTAGGAGTGATGAGGCTGTCAGCGCGACACGGTAACCTTCCTCATGGAGGGAAGAATGCATTATGGAAACAGCTGTAAATGGCGCCTCACACGTGGAATTGAGAGACAGATAGCACTCAGACAGCACCCATAGAATAGAGGTAGATGAAGATATGTCGAGGTGTATGGAAATGAAGTGGGGGAGAACACCTGATTCCACTCAGTAGTGGCACAGTTGTGCAAAACTGACAACACAATCATACGGTGACCGGGGCTAATCGTGATATGTTAAAGTTAGGAGAGTCTGATAAGCAGAGAATGATAGGAAACAGGAATGAATTTGACTTGGTGTTGTGCCGTTAGCACAGGGGATGCTGGGCAAAAAAAAACATGTATAGTGGCATAGAAGGTTGCTGCAGCTGGGTAAAGACAAGAGGAGTAGTGGCTGAGGAAGTTTGTTAACGCGGGATTTGGAAAAAAGTACAAGTACAATAGTGAGTGGATGTAATGTCTGTGGGATACACAAGTATGAATGAGAAGGACAAGTGGAGTGCAAAAAGAGTACAGAAAGTAGGTGGGGTGAGTGCAGTCCGCCATAAGGAGCCACGCTACCAGAGTGAGGTTACTTGCAGAAGTCAGATATGAAGTCACACCCCGTGAACGTCTAATAAAGGAATGTTTTGACCAGAACCAGATACAATTGATTACAAAGTTGTAAAAAAGCAACTGAATATCGAATGAACTGTGTAGGTATTTGAGCATAATTCCGACGTAAGTAACAACAAGCTAAGTTGGTTGGTTGTGCGTTAGAACAAATGCGGAGGCTTGAGTGATCACCCCACCACAGTAGCTACAAGATAACTTTCAATAGGAGTGAAAGCTCGACAACATTAAACGTCAGACGGAAAGCACAAAACGAGTTGAAATCTCGACGGTGTGAGAACAAAATGTGGGCCAGGCCAAGAGAATGAGGGAGTGCAAACTGGTGTGCTGCGAAGGACAAGGGGTCTTCGTTGGTCTCCATGCATTAGGACGAGGAGAGACGCAATGACGCGCATTGGGAATACACCGAGAAACGATATTAAAACTGTTTAAGTTTGGTTGCGTAGAGTGCCAAAACATAAGTCTAGCATCGACCATATACACAAACTATCAAATGCGAAAAACAGACGGATCAAAAACCAGATGCTTGCAACAACACCTTAATGGCCGGACGATGAACAGAGCGGCCTAAGTAGATGCTTCCCAGGGGCAGTGTACACGATGAACTAACAGAGGTATGAGGATCCCTTCCACTTTGTCGTAGCATGTTTTCAGCGGCCAATCGGAATTACCCCAGAGAAGTCGGATGAGCAACCAATGAGGAAGAAGACGGACACTAATATCCGATGAGCTGCGTTAACAAATAACGTTACGTGATGATACCGCCAACTACATGGAGCTGAGTTGCAGTTAAATATAGGGACAGATGGTTTGAGAAACAACTAGATAGAATTACTCTAACCGTTAGACCCGGTGTTAAAAAGTATAACACCGTCGCGCGGTTCTGGCCATGAACCTCATTCTTACCCACTGCTCTACTATGATTCACGTGTATGAGGTCGTCGATTACATGATACAGCCTATCTGCAACGCTCTCTAACCCAAAGTTATATTGCCGGCTGTTCTGCCAGTTCCGTGTAACCTGACATATGACCGATACACTGGCTGGCGCAGTGAAATCATTGTTCCTACGGCTTTAGGACCCATCCATCGCGGATTTAACACTGGCAAAACCGTACAGCTTGGGGACAGAGAGACATGAATACAGAATATCGTATTAGTGGAAAAATCAAAACATTAACTATCTACAACTCTATGAAATGGTAAGTAACGGATAACCTCCCTCGCTTCTCAAGAGATGAAGTTTTATTAGGGCCAGAGGAAGGGGTGAAGGGCAAGGTGAAACAACAATACCACAATGGATATGGAGCACAAGGAACAAATGTCACTCAAAATTAAGAGGAGGAGGGAAGAGAACGAACCATCAGGTGTGAAACCGTCGTCCTCGTGTGTCCCGTATCTGTCCAGGGAGTGCACTGGTTTTGTGGGCAAGCGGATATCCCAGAACAGGATCCGACCGTCATGCCTAATGCAAAAAAGTGATAGAGGAGAAGATGAAAATAGACTGATAGGATAATACACTACGATACGAAAAACAGTCGGCCGATGACCGAGTAGTCTGCATGCCTTGCTAGCAATCATAGGATCATCGGTTCGAATCCGCGTACGGGTAGGCGTCCTCGTGGTATACTCAGCTTACGCGCGACTGGTGTAGATCACGCGGCAGTGAAGCACCGTTACTGCGCACAGCTGACACATTAGTATTATTATTATTATCATCATTATTATTATGAAACACAGAATGCCGCCAGATAAGTGGAAAAATTCGACATCGCCGTAGATGTCAAGTACCTTAAGTCGAGGTGAAGGGTCAACATGTATTCCACATAAAATCGTTTGCTGAACAGAGATGGGTTACAAAATCTGAAATTAAAGTGGAGTAGCCTATCACAAAACGTAATGAGCAAACCGGTATCATTTGGTAGCATCTGGTGTAGACTAGAGGCTGAAGATGCGTACTGTAAGAATTGAGTCACGATTTCAGTCTCACCAACCAGTAGAGGGAGTGAACGAAGAGGCTTTCAGAGATGCTGACGGGTGTTCAGCTGGGAGATGTGGTGAAGTCCATGCCATCTATTCAATAGAAACCATCAAAGTATGTGATCCAGGAAGAATTAATGCAAGATGGTCACAAAAACAACAACCTGATAGCATAAGAGCCATTGGCAGAAAACGCATAAGCGAACAGTCGCTATAGCCAAAAATGAGATACAACAATAACCGCCTTACCTGGTAGAGCAAGTGAACGTGTTCAAGACCGTCAGGGAAATAGGCAGGGAAGAAGGAAACTATTGTGTCCATCCTGTGACTGATCGAAGCACACACATGCGCAGAGGTAGAAATCATATGAAAACGTGATGAAATGACCCAATCCGCATGGGTTTTGTTCCGGGCACCAAGGTGCGACGAAGCTAGCCGTGGTGGTTTACATAGCCACCAATTCCCATTACGAGAAATTAGCGTAATTCGGTCGCATAATAATGGCAAATTTATTCGATTTTTAGAATAAATCAAAAGTGGTAGATTCTGAGCAAATAATTCTTTTCGGTAACTCTCATCAGACTCAAACTTGACGTGATAGCAACTACATGCTGAATGTGTCGGATAGGCAACGTGCTGCTTAGAATGGTTAATTCCAACGGAAATGAATCAATAAATCACGCGGTCACTGAAGTTGGTAGATTATGTGTAAGGGGCAAACCACATTCAAGAAAAAGAAATTAATTGGATACAAAGCAAAGGAAATTGTATGCCACGGTAGAAGTAGAGGACGCATAAACCGCTTTTGTACGTATAACTCCGGCTTGAGGTGGCGGATATAGATAGCCTCCGCAATGGATAGCTGCTTTCAGAATCAACGCGAGAATTGTTAAGGAATAGTGTAGATGACACTGAAATCATTTTCAGTTCCTGTGTGATCACACTCTAAGGGGTGCAACAAGATGGAACTATTATAAGACCTTGATTCGCATCTGTAATACCACTTCGGAATGTGTTCACGAATCATATGGGATAGGTGCCTCGCTGTACGACTCACGTATCGTGCACCACAGGAGCATGAGCATTGATAAACAGACATTGATCGAGTCAACGGAGGTAGCGTATCTTACAAAGGTTTTGCGAGTAAAGGCTTGTTGTAGTATAGTAGGCGCAGGTGCGCTGCGAAATAAGTTTCTTCAATCGCGACTTTCGGGTGTTTGGACAGGTCATCAGCCGCACTGTCGCCTTTAAAAGGAAAATGCACGATGAGTTCCTTTTTGGGTACATTCATCCTCGGTGGTTTTACATTGCGTTCTTTCAAATGTTTGAGGATGAATTCATCTGGGTATCCATTCGCTCATAGAGCGTCACTGATTCTCTGCAATTCCTTGGTGATGGTATCTGGTGTGCCAATTCTGTGTGGCAGGTAGGCAAGGGTGCGGACTAGATTTCGTTTGTACTGTAGAGGTACCGCAGTACAGAAGTTGGTGTACTGTCCAGTCCAAGTTGCTTTTCTATACACTATGTATAGAAAACGTATACTCAACCCGCGAGCGACTGGTGGTGGTCGCGGGGTGGCGAAAAGCCATTAAGGCGTACAGCTGACACATTATGATTATTAGTATTATTTATTATAGAAAACGTATGATGGACAGGTGCTTAGATTTAATTGCTAACGTTCGATGATTCTGAAAAGATATGTCTAGCAAGAATATAATAAGGATTACTAGTACTAGATAGTAAGACAACATGACAAAGCGTTCCGGTTCGTAAAAGCATCGCAAGGTGACAACAGGGAGCTGGTTGAAGAACAACACAGAATCCAATGAGAGTAATGCAGTATTGCAATGTTAGCATCCAGTTGCATCGCATGCATATGGAATGCGCCCACCAATGCCGGCGAAAACCGCATCCACAAATGAGAAACTAAGCTATGAATTGGCACAGAATATGTGAACCCCACCGATCGGTGAGGGAATGGGAGATGCGTCTCAAGGGGTGGTCAAGTAAACGACGACAGACTAGATAGAATCAAGCCAAAAAGTGCTGCATGCAATCACTAGATACATGGGGGAATGATATTTAGTCTCTAAACAAACGATACAGAAGGGGACCAGTGCCAGATGATAGGGAGGACAAGAGAACCGCTATGACATCGACATATAGAAGACATCGCGTACCCAGCTGTGACCAGTGTGTCAGATGATCTAGGAGACCATACGATAGAAGATAGTCCAGCTGGAGAGTGACCCCCAATCAGCGTGATGGCTGCAGCACCGATGACCGGATCCAAGAGAACGCTTCGAGCACTCTCATCTGCACCGAGGGCGACAGCGACCAGATTGTGACGAATAGCACAAGGAGATAAGGCGATCCAGGATATACTTGATGGAAGTTCAATACTGTCGGCACACTAGAAGGAAAAGAGGGGGAAGAGTACATGAGAAAGAAGGATATATATGGAAAACAAAAGGAAGAGAAGTGATAGAGGAAATTTTGTAGTTTTCGTTTTGGAAAGGAGCTCAATCGGGTCGAATATCAACCGACCAATGAATGAGAATCACATCGAAGTGGTTGCATACACACAGAGCCAAAAAAGAAATGCGCTCATTAACCATAATGCAAAGCGCTGTGGTGAAATTAGCAGAGTGCTCTCAGCCGCTTAAAGTAACAGGAAGGCCTACTGAACGAGCTCTGTGACTTGGTAACTCATGTAGATAGGATGGTTTAAGGATAATGATGGTCTACAGCGTCAAACGGGTTAGTCAAATTTAAAATGGAATGGCAGTTAGATAGGATAACACCAGCACTACGTACTACACGCGTGCTAAAGGCAAGGATAAAAAAACGTTGTTGCCCACGTAAGTTGGTCGTGTTTATATGGCAAATCAGTAGCTCAGGAGATGTCCGCATACCAAATGCAAACCAATGGGGGGGGGGGGGAGACTTTAAGTTTCCAGATCCGTCATGGTCGTCAAACAACGTCCGTGCTAAATGTAATAGCGTCGTCTCCCCTATGCATGTATGTGGGTGGACTTGGTATGTTACATCTCCCATTACGAATCACATTCTGAATTGGGTCTTGATAATCGACCTACCAGTAGCTTCCATTGAAGTGTTGGAGCATTTCCCCAGTAACGATCACAGAATGATCACTCTCTCATTCAATGTTAACGCGCAGGCACAACAAATAGATTTGAATAAACATAGTGACTTTCAGGTCCAACAAAATTACCGACTGTGCCAACTTGACTAGATTCTCACAATGGGACAATCTTCATCGCTTTCAAACCACAGATTGCAGCAGACGACCTATAGAACAGCATCCATAACTATGCAGATGCGTCGAGTGCTGTCAGGCGTGAAAAACTAGCCGGCAATGACAAACGACCTATGTAACACAAATTAGATGTAGAGCTCAAAAAGCTACTAGGCGCACCGTAAATCTGATGGCTTCACTTTCCTAATCCAGCAGCAGAAGTTGGTTATAAATATAATGATGGCCAATCAGGCTATGCATAACGAGCGCTCGATAGTCAAAACAAGAAACACGAACTAATTCAATCGATGAAGGAAAAATTCGTTAAGCAGAACATAGACGACATCTCTCGTTTGTCAATAGATAACTGCAAAATCAGTGATTCGATTTGTGCAAGCAATCTGTGCAACAAATATTTCGCTGCCACATTCAACGAAAATAATGAAGCTGCGACGGTAGATCAGCTGCATCTTAAGAGCGATCGAATAATCAATACCCGATTCGATTTGCTGGTCCGGACAATTTTCCATCTGCTATCATAAAATTCGGTGGCGACATCCCTCTTACTACTACTGAATCTGTTCACATTATTGATAAATTTCTGTATCATGCCGCCTCAATGAAAGGAAGCTGTAGTGATGCCACGTCACAAATCAGGTACATATTTTGAAGTATAACACTATCGATACATACGTCAGCATTATCAAATAAAACGGAGAGGTATATAAAGTGCAAAACGGTGGAATTCCTACTATAAACATAGTAGGCGACTTGCAGCATGAATACTTTAACTCCAGATCTTGCATCATTAACCACTTGGAATTTCTAAATCGGCTGATTATTTCGCATGATCCGCGATTGTCAGCTATTACAACATGCACATAGTCTACGCTAAAGGTGGTCAAAAGCAAACCTATTTCCGTTTAACGCGGACAAGTGCAGAAGTGTGCATGTCCGCCACGAGTTTACTAACTCATATAGGCTTGGAAGACCGCCTCAAAGGAGCGTGAACTTGCGATGGTGATGCAGGACGACCTCGGCTGTTCAGCGCAGTCGTTGAACGCACGCAAAACCGCAAACCAATAGGTTAGTCTTTTACGGATGGCTCTCGGGGGGTTCGATTTCTCCATCTTCCCCAAAGTGCTCAATGCGTATGTGAGGCTCCATGTAGAATACGCGATCCAGGTGTAACAAACCTTGTTAAAACGCGACCTGGTTGCACTGGAGACCGCACAGCGGTAGTCAGCGAAAAATGTGAAGGGTTTGTCCCATCTGTAATACCATAAGCGACTGAAAGCCCTGGGAATGTACAGCGGAAGATATAGCTCTCTATGGGGTGGCTTCATCCTGGCGTTTCAGATCTTGAAAAACCCCAGTCACGCTTGCCACCACTTCTTGACACTTAGCCGCAATGCAGGATTGAGGGATCATAAGCTGAAACTGGCCATCTAATACAGTAGACTGGAATTACTTTTCTCTCGAATTCATCAACTGTGGAACCGTCTTCCGAATTGTCATTTCTGCGTCCGAGCTACCTATTTCTAAAAAACGGCTCAACGATACTTTACACCGCCTGTATTACTTGAACTGTCTTTTGTTCATTGAGTGACGACAAGACTCAGACAAGGATTGTGCTCATCAGCCACAAATAAATCGGAGTAGAGGGATACGATTTTGTGTTAACGTGGATAATATAGTGAATCCACAGATATGTTTTTCACATTTGTGTAACTTTTCAGAACTAACGTTGTTCCCACAACCCATCCCACGGGACTTGTCAAGCCTTGGCTTTTGTATCCGTATCATACCATTGTTCCATTTATTGGCTTGGTTTATATCGTATCCCCCTGGTCACTCACAAATGGTACAGATACAACACCAATTTCAACCCAAGGCTGTTAGTAGTGAGGTTATACAAACCAGTGTTCTTGGTCCGCTGTCGCTTCAATAATATGTGAATGATTTCTTCAACCTAGTTAAATCCCTCACACCTAATCTTTTAGCTTAGGGCATGAAAACAGTTTACCCTTTCCTCCCTACCAGTCGAAGCAATGCTCTAATGAAAATCCAGCTCGGCATTCATTCACTGTGGATTTGGTGCACCAGGTGAAAAATGTGGCTCGCAACTGACAAATGCAGCGCCATGTCATAGAAGTGCAGTCTTAGTCCGGACTCTTGTTGGTAAATTAGTTAGTCTCTGGCCGACTATTTGTGACCTAGGGCTCCGTTACTCATGCTCTCTGAATTTCAAAGGACATGTGATTTCTACACCAGTTAGAGCAAAACAGCGCATCACATAATTATTTAGAAAATTCACGCTATGAGGTTCTACTTGTTCCGTGTATGAATCGCATGCTCGCTCTAGATTTGAATATTGCTCAATAGATTACAGGATCGCAAGGAGGCATGATGGTATCACCAAACGCAGCCGGCATTCACCTAGCGCCTCATAGGCGCCTGCTCAGCGCTAACTTATTTTGAGCGATGTGATCTACTTAAACTTGACTCAATTTGGCTACGACGCTTTAAAGTAAACCTGACGCTGTTTTTCGATATTCTTCACGAAGGTGCCATTTTTAAAGCCAACTGGAGACAGTGCAGACAAAAAATATTATGTATTGAAAAGATGTCAAAGAGAAACACGTTAACACATATTTCTGGATAGATACCCTGAAATATGGAATAAGCTGCCGGCCGATACCCGTACTAGCATATCGGAGTACAACTTTTGTGAAAAGCCCGACAAATACCTGAGAGTCGGTAAGTTAATTTATACTTAGGGTTGCTCGATAAATATGCATCAAGTAAGGTCTAGGCAGTACATAACCCAAAGTCCCAAATAATCGAAAAAGCAACCGTTGTTTCCCAATTTACCTTCACCTTCCATTGAACCCTGCTCGAAGGCTCAGCGTTGACTAGTGGCCGCATTTGCACATCGATACTTTGGAGATCCAGGATCTTTCTTATCTTTTTCAACACATATCGACTCACAACACTTCACCTAGATTTTATTTGGTTCCGCTGTTATCACGTGTTAGTCGAACCACTGGTAAATTGGTTAGCGGGATTCACAAATCCAGCCAACTATCTCCAATCGCATCTTTACTTCCGTTCTAATCTGTTTGCACACTTAACATTCTTTTGTAGAAAATAGACCCGTCGGTAGGTTGGAGACTCAGGTCTTCATATTAGGACTTTAACCCACCTTGTCCTAGAAAACTTTATTTCAGCTATAGTTAGTTTTATTATTCGCTAGTGAAACTACCGACGTATTGTTATAATTGTCACTCAGGCCCAGTTTAAGAAGTCTTAAACATTGTGTTGGACTTCTGGCCCGATTATCAGGAAGCCGAAGTTCTAAGCACTGTCGACCTACCAAGTAAACATTTTGCACGCGTTTTAATAGATACAACTCGTTCCGAATAATATGCATCGTGTCTACTGGTCACATACGCCGAAATATTTTCCGTTGGTTAGCTTGCGGAGTCAAACCAAAGCCACCCCCCACAAATCAAACCAGTTCCGTTGTTGTGTACATATGAACTTTATAACCCTGCTACATAATTCACATACCATTCTCCAGATCAAGCTCATGTTCTTTTACAATTCCCTATGAAATGCCTGATTTACAATCCAGTTATAGGTAATACATTTCTTCTCCTTACGGCTTTCGGGAACGAAATTCGTCCGACATCATGAGATAATTGTCACCAAACAGCGATGCATTTTCGGAGGAAATATATGCTTGATCTCTAGGAGCAAGTTGAACGGAAATCGGTGAACAATCAGTCGACACTAATAGTTCGTAATGATTGGACCAGGTTCACTGGAACGCGTTTCACGTTTTTTGGAAATATACTTATCGTTATTATGATAAAGCAGTTCACCAACAAATTTATGAATAGCATGTAAGCGCGCCTGGGGGAGCTAGTTTCGTTGGATAAAGCAAAATAATCAAAAACAGGACGAGGACTTTTGACTTCTCTGGACAAATGTTCGGCCTAAAATGGAGCATGAACCTAAGAGACAGGACACGAGGCTGACTTCGGGGATGTTGAGTGATATACGAGAGTATTGCACTAAACTGAAAGCCGATAATCAGTTACTGACCATGGTACAGCGGAAGACTTAAAAATCGAATGGAGTCACAAACTTGATGCATAGGCTGGACAGTGAAAACATGGGGTGTAGTGGGTAGAACAAGTTGTACTGATAAACTGTGGTTTTACAAGAACACTTATGAACAAGTGGATATAAGAGATTCACAAAGATGTGAACCGACTCGCGAGTCCGTGCGGTAATACTCTCACAGATTCGTCGATGCCGGTCAAAATGTGAGCGTTTAGTAGGACAACGTGCATTAAAAAGAAGCCTTCAACCAAACATAGGATACGTACATTGTAATCTAGCCAATCAAATGGAAAAAGTAAGAATAAAAATTGGAAAACTATGAAACTGCCAGTTCTCGTAGCTCTTCGTAAATTGAATATAGCAAAAGCTCCGTCTTCGTGGACGGGGACTTCGGGATGGTCCAAGCCAGTGGTTGGAGGCGGTATCAGACATGACGCAGACAGTGGCGTTCCTGCATTCCGCTTCTCGCACCTGGTTAGTAATTTTCGTTCCATTCTGATTAGTCTAACGCATTACATTTTTGCTATCATTTTCTTTACATTTTATGTGTATTCGACCCCACTATCTTCCCGTCGTTATTCATCGTTATTCTTGCAACTGGATCCATCGCACTTGGGTGCTCGGATCATAGTCAACTGAACGGAGAACCTCCGTAAGTTGACCACTCAAAGGATTGGACCAAAGTGGTCAATATACAGAGGTGTGGGTCCATAAGTTTTATATGGTGAACGTCCAAGCAGTGAAAATAAAACCGGTCGATTTAGAGGAAATCCGGTGTGACGCGACAAATCAAGAAATTGTGAATGACGCCGAAGTACTCACAAATTAACAGTAGCAGAATTCAACCTCGTGATTTCAGTTGGTAGACTACGTTTAGCATCAGTCAAAAGACCACCCACTCAGTGAGGAAGAGCTGGTTGACAAAAATTAGCCTGAGGAAAAAACGAGGCATAAGTAGTTAGCGGACCATCAACAGGTCAAATAAACGTGGAGTTGACTTCAATGTAAGCCGAGGTCCCAAGAGAGATTGCGTGTCGCAACCCTAACCTAGGGCGAGTACTCCATTAATTAGAATACGCTGTGTCGAGAGTTACGCACGGATCTCAATGGAATACTGATAAGTACATCAGCCTTTAGCCACTAGTTCCAGAGTTCCAGTCCAAACTCGATGAGTCGAAAGGAGGACGAAACTTGTCGTGGGATGCAAAGTAGGGAGAGAGTAATATTGGCATCTTTACGATTCTCCGTGCATTACGCCATGAAGATAAGGGTAACTTGAGATCATTAGTTCGCTTGCCACTGAGATCCCGCTCATTGTGTCGGTGCACATGGTTTGGAATAGAAAAGCAACATTCCCCAGGTCAAGCTGTCTTTAGTGCAAGTAAGTGGGTATGTAAGGGGATGGGCAAGCACAAACAAAATTTTTGACCATCCCAGTGACCAGGGAAAAGGACAGATGTAGAGTAACGCATCAGGCCACGACACCATCTGGTGACATTCGGTGTGCCTAGCTGATGACCAACAGACACTTGCTTGAAATGGTCGGCATGACCAGTATGGGCAAGAATAGTTCCGTGAACATCTCTACCCGCCGGGTAGGTTACGTGTTCGTCGCGGCGATCAACGGGTGGCCCTCCGCGATAAGATCGCCACGTGCTTCTAGCAATCATCATATATGGGCAAACCCCACTTTGACTGGTAACTACAAGCCGACGGCAAACATATGTCAGAGCGCGATAACGCAATGCCAAACCCCAGAGATGTATTGAAGGCGAGTCTTACCGTAAGCCGATTAGTGTCCCATATTTTCACAGTTCTATCCAAAGATGCCGTGAAAAATAAGCCGGAATCCACCGGATACCACTGGATACAAACCACAGGACGCAAATCGGATACTTTGGGGCGACTTGAACGTGCCTGTTCGGAGGATTTCCCGATGATGCCAATTATTCGATGTGATTCTTGTCCGTCCACCGACGCACGATCCACCACATCTAACAGCTGAATCGATCCGTTTTGGAGCCCTAAGAGTAAACTAACTCAGTGGGAACTGGGAGGAAGCAGACCTACTATCGTGACTGCAACTCCTCGAGAGCCATATCACGGATAGGAGTGATGGCGGTCGGTCGAAACAATACATCGTAGTTAACATCCAGTTGGAGCATTCGAGGTGACAGAAACCCGGCGCGATAGAGACCAATACGACCGTCCAGCTCATGATGGAGAGTGGCAGTAGAGGAGTACATGAGCTTAATCCTTGGTCGTCACATCGCCTCTTCGATTGACGGCTGAAACAAGCACGTTGACGAGAAGATGTGCAAAACAGACCTATTTTGGCGACGTGTAGATATAAAAACGTTAAGACAATATGAAAAAGAGGGCCAAAGTAAATAAAACAGCTTGATTCAAAAATATGTCAACGTACAGATATCAGTTACCAAGAATGAAGATGGCATTCGGTACTACTGATGCCACGGAAGAGATTAGCGGAGGCACACGAGTACAGAAAACAAAGTAGTGCTATAGCTGCAGAAGAGTCGTTGCAGCCAATTCCCGGTCAGAAAGACTACACATACAGAGGAAGGTGTTAGATAGCCATTAAATGCTCTGCAGTTTCGAGCATCCATTGGATACTGTTGGATTCGAGACTATGACCTCACTCTTACGAACCACTGAGCGATGGGTGACGGTGGTGGCCACTAAGGCTGATTAATTCTTGTGATAAAACACGGCTTATTTTCCACCGTCATGTATGTTCGGAGTGTGCAAAAGACAAAGTCGTTCCCCAGAACTACGACTTTCCATGTAAGCCAGAACGAGTGATGGAGAGCGATTTCGAATATAGTGTAAAGGCCAGCAAGCAGGGTAACCAAAACGCAAAATGTTTAAACTGAGCAGCTAAGTGAACCGATAAAATGTCAATTTTATTAACTGGTGTTAATCGAAACTAAGACGACGACTCATCGACTGCTCGCCTTGACTAATTGTTGTGGGCACGTCAAATAACCAAGCAAAAATGCGCCACAAACTCCGGTGCGTAAACTGTGTGACGCAGAGTTCAATTCCTGCCCACAACGTAGAAGGATCCAGCCACGCGGAGTCGGAGCACAACTGGGCTAAAGTGGGCAATCTTCCTTCGCAAACCACCAGTCCTACGTGGTGATTCATTTCACTCATAAAATGAAGCAATGTTCCAACTGTGATTCGGCCTTTGTGGATCCTAAAAGAGCTCCACAGGTCCGCTTCGTCTTCCCTTGTCTTGAGGGTGATTGGGAACCGCGTGGTCGCGTGATCGTGTGCGTCGTTTAGCCAGCTGCTACGTGTGCGTCTAAGTCTCTCGCGCGTCCAGCCCCCCGGTCGTGTGCGCATCGCTGTCCGTTTACGAGAACTCAGCGTGCCATCGGAATACGCGCGTGAATAGGGACTGTGCTCACGTTGCGCATAATTCTCGTCTAAGCTAACGCGACCAGATCGGTCCAAATCCGTTACCGTGGCGAGGACAGAAATTTCGAGCCATGACAGACGAGTACGCCGATTTGAAAGTTGCGCCGCAGCAGCAACTCAAACTGATGTCCGCGAAGGATATAGAAACGCACAGCGAAAACGCCACTGAGGTCGGCTCCTAGCCATGTCAGCAAGTGTATCTAGCCAAACATGTTCATCGTCTTTTGGTCCCTAACCAGACAGCCGTGTAGCTCCAACCGAGGCTAGCTCCGAAGTGAGGGACTTCATTCCTTTCGAGCAAATCTTCGCTAGGCCACCTCTCTTCTACCATTCACACCCCCGGCGCGCAAACAACGCATGTCGCGGAAGTCGGTGGGCTGGCATGCACAATACGTGGTCGAGCCATCGGAGCCTGGTGCGTGAAACGACGGTGTTGAGCGGTTCAGTTCATTTGCCTGTGCCATAAACAAGGCGTCGAACACGCTCGTTACTCACGCGGTGTTCCCACCAGATGTGAGCCAAACTGCGAAGACACCGATATTCGAACGTAACTAGCCTCTTTATGTCCGCTGACCCAAGGGGCCACGTTTCGCAACCGTACAGTAAGGTCGAACGTACCGATGCATTGTACACTCTACCCTTCAGGGCGAGAGTGATGTCGCGCCGACGCCATAGGTGACGAAGGTTAGCAAAAGCACTTCAAGTTTTTGTTATACGGTTCGTGATCTCGTCTTCGATCCCAAGGGCGCTGATACAACTTCCCAGGTAGTCAAATTGCTGGAAGACTTCTAGTTGATCCCCACCAAAGGTCAGCGCAGAAAACGATCCCTGCCAATCTTGGAGGAAAGCTTTGCACTTCGATAGTGTAAAGCAAAGCCCGAAGTGAATGACAGCCAGTGCTAATCTGTCCAGTGCAGCTCGGCACACGTGCGAGTTGTCAGACATGAGGACAATATCGTCAGCATACTCCAAGGCAAGAAAGTCGTTCTCCGGGGAATAGCTCCACACCTTCGTGTCCTGTAAATGCAAACTCTATGATTTCGTCAATAGGGAAATTGAAGAGAAAATGTGACAACGGGCATCCTTGTCTCACACCATTGGAGATATTGAAGGGCGGCGACAGCTTGCCGTAAGCCCTCACTCTGCCCGTGCTACGCGCATATAATGCTTGGATAATATTTACATAGTTCTCGGGCACATCTTTCCTGAGTAGACAGTCTCAAAAGGCACTTCGATCAACCAAATCGAAGGCATCTTTGATGTCGAGGAACACGACTACGGTGGACCGTCAGTATACGTGACGGTGCTCAAAAAATTGACGCAAAGTGAAGATGTGGTCGATGCAGCCACGACCCCGACGAAACCCGGCTTGCTCCTCACGAACCTGCCTATCACGAGCGCTATTTAGTCTGCGAAGGTGTACAGGGGTAAGTAATTTGGAGGCTATGGGGATCAGACTGATTCCTCTATGGTTGCCGCATTCCGAGCGCGAGTCTTCTTTGAAGAGAGGAACAATACCAGAGCGGCTCCAGTCGGTTGGGATAGTCTCCTGCTCCCACAGTTCCACTAGTAATTCGTGTAAATCATCAACAAGAGGAGGGCCCGAATTTGAAGAGGGCTGGAAGTAGATCATCTAGTCCCGCGGCTTTGTTCAATTTCAACGGTCCGATCTCACTTTGACTTCTGAGCGAGAGGGCGGATCCAAAGGGACAGCCCAATGTGCAGGTTGGTCACTGGCGGGTGAGGAATGGAACAATTCCGGCCGATTTAATTACTTTTCAAAATCCTCAGCCCAACGCTCCAAACGTTTTGACAAACTGTGGATAGGCTGTCCACTCTCGTCACAAATTGTTTCAATAACACCAAGTCTCCTGATGCCCGTTCCCCGTATCAGACGGAATAACTTTCAATGGTTACCGAGGGCAGTGGCTACTCCCATCTCTGACGCACGATGAGACCACCATGATTCGCGGTCTCTTTTCAGGCTAGCACGGAATTTTGCCCGGAGCTCTTTGCGAATTTCATTGTGTTCGTTTCCAGCTGGAATATGCGTGTGAGCATCGATAAGTTCCATAGACCGCGAAGAGACCCAATGTCCATGTTGGCTATTAGACATACCACATGAGGATTTGCCTGCTGCTAGTAAGATCTGGCGAACATGCGACCAGTGACCTCCAATTGTCTCCAGTGAGCGCCTACTCAACTCGCATGTCAGCGTAGTTTGATAGACATTCAGAACAGCTGGCTTCGTCAGTTGGCTGGTGCAATGCGCCCACAGCGTCGTCCTGGGTGTCCGCCGAAACGCATTCCCATGTCAGCACATGGTCGGTGTCTACGCATGTGCTCCAAATCGAGCGACAGTTCTGGACGCAGCCTCTCCATCGGTAACTGGTTGCAATGCGATCGATTTGCGTCCAAAGCTGATGGGCGCCAAGTCACCCTCCGGCGAATGCTGTGTCGGAAGTTAGTGCTCGCAAGAAATAAGTGGGCATTTTCACACAAATGAAGTAACCGCGCACCGTTATCATTACGGGAGAGTATACCGTGCTGACCGCCCAGATGCAGTTCACCAGCGGACAACTTTCCAAGTTTTGCTTTCAGATCCTCCGCTAGCACAACAGTGTGCGTGCTTCTTCTGTGGCGAAGGAGCTCGGTCAGTTGGCGGTAGAAGTCGTTTTTGACCGAATCATCGCTACAGTTTGTGGGCGCAAGTGAGGCGATAACGAAAAGACACCTATCAGTCCCGCGCGACTTTGAAGCGTGGAACGATAAAGCCAATCGGACCGCACACATCCGGCGACTGATTGGAATGCAATCAACCATAGCAGCTTCAGCCCGGGGGCAATACCAACACCAGCATGGTCGGTGCTCGAAGCTGCATCTTCACCGGATAGGCGCAATGAGAAAATACTGCTGGTGTCACCTGAAGATCGCAGAGTGAACACAAAGCTCGAGTCTTGCAAGCGGGTCTCCGATAAGCAGCAGATATCGATGGAGATAGGCTCTAAAGTTCGGGAAAATGCTGCCTGTTGACCAATCTGTAGCAATGTGCGTACATTGAGGCATGCCAATCTGTAGGAGGATCGAGGGCTCCAGATGGAGGCCGATGAACTGGGCTTGACAGCTTGATTGGACATGGGCTTGTCGGCAAGACAGGAGACGCTCCACGTGTGCATGTGTGTTGAAACTAGAAGATAAACCCATAGCAAAGCATATTGGGGAAGGGCCAAGAAACTGGGGTTGAAAACTGGGGGGATAAAAGTGAAGTTGGAACGGGACGATAAGGGACAAAAAGCGTAAGAGGAGGAATGAGAAGGCGGGAAGGTTTGAGCAGTAGCAGTCAAACCCCTATCCGCCCTGCTCGATGAAGCAGATAGGGCACCGTTGATTATCCTCTGCGGTGGCCAGAGCATCAGGAATTTGTTTGACGTAAGGTTCATAGTATTGCGTGGGAAGGATACTGTCAGGTTTCCCCGGCCTAGACAGGAGAACGATTAGGGTTCTCAACCAAAGCCTTTGGTTCAAAAACCTGATCGCCATGTAGCGGGCTTGGCCTTGGGCTACAAGGAGTCCATTTTAAGGAATAAGGAGCCATCCTCATTCCAACCCCAACCTGGAGGCTGACTTTGTATGGCCACTAACCATTGATCTATCTGGTATGAGTGGCTCTGAAGGTACAAAAAAGTACCACCCAGCACAGCTCAATAGATCACTGAGGCACACAAACCATCGCACCACGGTAAGGTCCAGCCTCAATGCGATGGGACTAACTGTACCAGGCACAATGAATTCGTAGTTGGAGCCCCGGTCCACGCTCGCGATTATCGAGCAGAACATCCACGCTAGACCCAAGCAACAGGGACGGCCCGTCGAGGTGATATGCTGCATGGTGTCTCCGTGGGTGATGACACGTGGGTCCGCCATCGCAATCAACTTTGCCCGTGCCACGGAGAACCCTTCACGCGAGCCAGTCTTCCTGTGCACCTGCCGTTGCAAATCTTGTTGGATACCTACGATATGGCTACACAACGGGAGACCACGGTCGAAGCCGCGCCGTCACCTTACAGACGAACAGCAAGAATCCGGAGACCACCGAAATGCCTTCAGGTCAATCCCCGTTAGAAGCGGTACATATTATCTTCAAAGGTGTTGCGGGCACGTCAAATAACCAAGCAAAAATGCGCCACAAACTCCGGTGCGTAAACTGTGTGACGCAGAGTTCAATTCCTGCCCACAACATAGCAGGATCCAGCCACGCGGGGCAACGTTCTTTCGCAAACCACCAGTCCTACGTGGTGATTCATTTCACTCATAAAATGAAGCAATGTTCCAACTGTGATTCGGCCTTTGTGGATCCTAAAAGAGCTCCACAGGTCCGCTTCGTCTTCCCTTGTCTTGAGGGTGATTGGGAACCGCGTGGTCGCGTGATCGTGTGCGTCGTTTAGCCAGCTGCTACGTGTGCGTCTAAGTCTCTCGCGCGTCCAGCCCCCCGGTCGTGTGCGCATCGCTGTCCGTTTACGAGAACTCAGCGTGCCATCGGAATACGCGCGTGAATAGGGACTGTGCTCACGTTGCGCATAATTCTCGTCTAAGTTAACGCGGCCAGGTCTGTCCAAATCTGTTACACTAATGGACTCTCCTTATACAGAAATAACAATTTCCATGCCACTTGCATGTGAGACAAAGCCCAAAAAATGACATTCCGAGAAAGCACACAGAATGGGAGATGTCGCGTCAAAATTGCCGGATAATGTTCCGAAAATGAGCGGTTGATAATCGTTTCGTTTATAGTAGAACGTCAGTGAGAGCTTTCTAGTAACGCCGGTAGTGCGGATCACGGAAATTAGTATAGTACCAAGGGAGGACTGTCGAGTGTACTTAGTATACGGATGACGAGCGTCGGTGAAGAGAAGGGTGAAGCCCATAGCTTTTGGAAAGTATATTCGCAGACTATAGAAACAGAAGTCAAAAAGCATGATAAAAATCACAGAGTTCAGCCCAAACGAATGTTGGAAAGCCGTCAGGTTATCGTATCTGTGACGGAGCCAACATTAGCAGTACAACCGTTGAGGCAAGGCTCAGTATCAACCATAGTATCGGCTGACGCCATGGAAGGTATTGGATCTGCTTCGGATTTCTTCAGCTCGGACAGGTTAGCTGTTTCCAAGGGAAGCTCAAGCTCCATCGACACGGATAAGATGCGTGGCCAGGTTTCGTGTATCGGCGCACAAATTTGTCGGCTTAGACGATGCACAACAAGGTGAGAAATTTCGGTGCTGTTCATCCCCCCAGACGCATCGCTAGCAGCACACAGCAGTTGGATGATCAAATGAGTCAGGACCTTGGGCACCATCTCAGTAGCGAAGTGTGCCGCAAAATCAACCACCTCAGTGCGCCACTCAATTGTCTTCTGACCCACCAAAGAACGATATGCAGTGAGTATTCTGGTGCAACAGGTGCTCAGGCAGTCGGATACTGAGGTGATGAGGCTGGAAGGATAAAACAAAAGTGCAATAAATGGAGAGAATAAAGAGGCCCCGAAGGTTCACCAACGCATGGCAGAATCCGACATACCTGTGCCGTAGAGCAACGGGGCAACAGAATCGCAGGCCGTTGAATAGATCCATGAAGCTGTTGTAGAGCAGTGCAAGTGGAGGGTAGGAAATCAGAACGCAAGGAAGAGAGGACGTCAATTCGGATGGAGTGGTTGCCTTAGGATCGAAACATGTAGTGTCAGCATCCGATGGACTGGCATCAACTTTCCACGGTACGTTGTCTATGGCGATTGTAAACTCGTCGGACGCATTTCGAAGATAGACCTTGGAAAAGAAACGTGACATGATTAAGGTAGATAAATAAACGGTGGGCAAAGCGTACATAATGGCATTATGCATAATAGTTGTGGAGTAATTACGAGTCCCTCAACCGAAAACAAATAGTGTTCGGGTCTCCGAAGTGATGTCACGCACAAGCAATGTAGGGATGAAGGACAGCATCTAGCATGAGTAATACCACGCGACAATTCCCTCCGGATTGTTTGAATTGCCTGTGATTATGCTGCAATAATCTTCGTGCTTCGTGTGATAGTCACCTATCAAAACCCGATTGTAGACTCGTGTTCTTAAAGTTAAACGGTCCTGACGCTCAGTAACTTCTGCTTTCATTTCGTCTGATTCAATCAGTACGGAACGCAACCCGCAGGTATCCAAAAATGCACCATCTCTATGAGGAAACTCACGTGCACAATGCTGCTAATTGTTGAGCCGCTCGAAAATAATGTGAACAGCTTTGAAGGACCCTCAGCAGGCCGTTAAACGGTGGCTAAGTATAAGATTTACGGAATGTTATCAATGATGACTGAACCTAACACTATTTTCCAAGTCTAACTGGTCCTGGTTTGGACCCTACCACTCCACTTAGAATGGAATCCTACTGATCGGAAGGAAATGAGTTTGAGTCAAAGTGGGATTGCGTGTTGCCATACGAACACAAGGTGAGTGTTCCGAAACGCGACAGCCAGTCGCTCAGGTGTTGCAGCTCAGTGAGGCGTCAGCTGCGAACCGTGAAGTTGTGTTCCACGCCCAGATCCACCTGAGGAGGCAAAATGGACGAAACCGGTCGTAGGGCGCACGGATGGGAGGGAGCATCACCGAAAAGTCACCCCACTTCGAATGCGTTCACAGGAAACCGTAGTTCGAGCAGCGGTTGCGTGTCATCATCTACATCCACGTCGGGTGCTACAAAACCAAGGTGCTTACATCCAATGTATTGTTGCAAGACGGCCACGGTTAACAAATTTCAGACCCATGTGGTCAAGGAGGTCAGCTAACATGCGAGAATGTACAGAACTGCAAGTCCCGCCCGTTCCAGATTGGATCTTAATAAGCCTTTAGTGCCTTCAAGTCCTCCTCACCAACATCATAGGTGGGTGCAAAGTGGAGATCGCACTCAGTATTCACACAAACAACATAACTCATCAATTCACAAGTGCCTGTCGAGTTTCGCTGAGTATCCCAGCGTCAATAAGCCGTTGGACCATCAACGATTTAGCTGTAAAGGCACAGTGTCAGGTATCGTGCTACGATGGGGATACTGGGCAGTGAGGGCCAGTAGGCATTGGCAATACGCCGTATCGCTGCCATGGGTTCATCGACAGTCGCGAGCGGTGTATGAATGCCGTGAGGTTGCCCGCGTCTATGCAAGTTTGAAGTGACAACTCTTGGATCACGCGGCCGAGTCCTTATACCAACCGGCTATTGCGCATCATAAAGCTGCTGATCGCGCTCTCTCAAGCCACTGATGCTGGTGCCCCGAAAGTCAGAGTTTACGGATTAATGAGTTGAACCAAGTGATGTTTACTCCGATAGCAGGGTGGTGCATAAAAGCACATATCCAGAGTTGCATTACATGTCGCATAACTTCTTATGCAATACATACACCCGTGTGTAAGCCGAGCAGTCAGATGTCGTTCCCAAGGTTATGCGACTTGAATGGATTAGTCGGGCAACAGGCCTGAGATAAAGGAAACAATGAATATGGCCATTAGTGCCCACGGAAATCACTTTCTGGCTGCCTATGCCGTGCACGAAATTCGACAGCTCAGTACTTTTAGCATTCACTTTAGAAAAGAGGGAGTATCCGGAGGTAACAAATAGAAAAAACCCGACGGTGGTGGGCAAGTAATGTGCGCACAGATCCGAACTATCAGTGTCCCCAACGTAATTGGCAACGTGATACGGCAGTCACGGTCGCATGTCTTTAGCCCGTCAATCTGCTGAGGTTTCTGTTAAGTAATCCTGGAAATTGCTTGCAATGTGTGCTTTCTCTGTCCGTGGAAAACACTCTGAAAACGACAAATCTTGAACTTATGTGAAATATGAGACAGTCTAAACAAAAGAACGTCTCAAAGACACAAACAACTCACAAGGTATAATCACACTTAAGATGCACAGATGACGGGCCCAGAGAAGGAAATGTATGTTGTTCATTAGAAAACCATACTAATCTGCTTTATTATTATTCTCTAAAGAGATAATGTGATAGCAACCACAGTTTATGAACTGAAAAATCCTATGAGTGGGGTTGAAAAGTCAGATGCAATCAATCCTGGATGCCAGCAGTATTCCTGTCAATGTGAACATCATGGGAACACCTTTAGCTAAAGTGGTGTTGCTGCCGAAGACCAGCTTTGTCAGGCTCTAGCTTTTCTACCTGCCTAACACCGTTGTTCCATTGCGTTAAAGCACGGTGAGGGCCAGTGCTAGTTGGCTAAAGATTAGCTATAAGACGATGTCACGGACACCCCCCCAATTCAGGGCTAGTATAATTGGGTTATAGAGTAGCCTCGAGTAAGCGTCTTACGGAACAAACAAAAAAAACCGTTTGGGAGTAAGACCGTAGCACACTAGTCAGAAGCGTGCGGATAGGTGGGAACGCTCTATCAGTCATCATGCCATACCGAGGTAAGCCACCCACGAAACAGTAAAGGAAAGATCAGCGGAAAACCAGTATTCGGCTCAGCTATTACATGCTAGTTTGATAACAGGTTTCAAGCTCTTGAGCGAACTGCCAAAGCCTATATCGCACGGCATACAACGTGTAGAGTACATGCTATCTAACTGGCAGATGAGGGGTGGATAGGAAATGTGTGAATACGGTCATACAGTTCTCGAGCAAACAGGAGTCCGACTTAAAATTGGCTAATATACCCAACTGACTGAACATGTTGGAAAGATAGCAAAATGGTCAAACCAATGTGGTGCTGCAGTACGCAGAGTATCGCAGCATATTGTGATTAGTTCCGGTACCGGACACCATAAGAAGCATGATACGTGAGTCACAGAACAGTATCCACCTCACCTCAACAAAGTCCAGAATACATGTGAGAAACAAATCACTCAAATGCGGTCTGAAATCGCAGCCGAAACGTCCAAGAGACCTTCCAAAGTACATGGTCTGAGAGAGGAGAGATTGCATTTGTGTAAAAATGGTATCTAGCTCCAGATGCGGTGAGCTATCCGTTCCGGATGCCTTGAAATTGCTGCCAGACCAGCGGTCCACAACTTCTTGAACAGAAAGGTGCGGCTGATATAACATTTCTTTGATATCGGAAGTTAGAGTGTTTAGGAATGTGCTGATGCGGTGAACGAGCCAAGCGTTGAAAAGATGGTATCCGCCGCGAGAGACATCGCCCTGTGTTTCATCAGACAAACACAGAGGATTGACTAGAAATGAATTTAATTTTCCATCTGCTGCCTCCAGATCTTTTTTCCATGTGGTAGATTCTTCATCAAAGAACACGGCACTAAAAGGTAAGAGTGAGTGAACAATCGCCAGTCATATACGATCTAAGATAAATGTCCCAGTGAGCGGGTAGCAAACAAATGGTGCGAATCGTCGGGAAGTGAGCTGTAACCTTCCAGGCGCTGTGAAGATGTCAAATCAAACCAATTCGGAGAAGGGTTACGACCACGGCGTAAGTTGAGGCAACTAATGGGGACCACCAGTGATTGCTATGTGGGACATATCATGGCAAGTGGAAGTCAAAACACGCTGAACAAAACGTAAGGGACCTCAGAAGGCCAATCGGTTACAGTTCAGTGACGGGCGCATCCGGTCGAAGTAAACACCGCAACTCGGAAAAAAGTATACACAGCAAACATGCGGGGTGCTTCATATATTCTCACCGTCAACAGGTTGATAGTGACGAGGACTGGCCACCAACCACGCAAGTATCAATGAAAACATCTCCAAGCGTTGGAACACCTGAATGTGTGATAAGAACTTCGGTATACACTGAACAAAGGTTTCACATACAGCCAGCTAGCGATAAGCGGACCCGAAAGCAAAATGTGCCGTGTCAGTATACGGCCGTAGTTCACCAGTGATGGGCTGCAAACAATGCGTAGCAAGTAATAGCCTCTGTCCGTACACCCTTAAACAAATATGGCCGCGCAGATTGACTGCCCAAGCAACACAATTGCGAAAATGAACGTTTAGATAATTGATTAAGCATGGGACAAAGTGGGACCCGGAGTTGATGACAAAATTTGAATTCGGTAGGCTCACATATGGTAGACTGCAACATGGTAAGCTAAAATGAAGGATGGTTTAAACGCAATGAGAGAGGTCGGAGCACGTCCGGTTATTGACGACTGGAAAACCATGGGTCGGTGTATGGTTAGTAAGAGAGCTGAAGAAAAGCTCCAAAGGCAACAGATGGCAAGACTATTCCGAGCAGTTCGGGGCTTGTTCTAAGATTCGGGGGACCAAGTGACAGCTATGAGACATTTAAGTTGTACCGGGGTGATAGCATCGAATGTAGGGTTCCCCCAGTCGGTCCTTACACAATGGATGGCAGTAGGATTGAATTTCAGTAGCATCTAAAAGGAATTAAAACGAGTCTGCATGGTTGTGCAAGGAACAAAATGCATAGAACCGATTTTGAAGAAAACTTGGAACATGCCGAAATTTATTGATGAAAGGAAAGTTGAACAGACTACCGAAAAGAGAAGATCAGAGGAAAATGACGAAGAGACTTCAGCGGTGGAATCCATATGTCACAGCAGAAAGTAACCACAAAGTAACCTAGGTGACACATGGCGATGGAAAGCAGATGGAGAGGTGGCTAGAAGGCTAAATGACATGGGGGAGGATAAGAAAAATCAAAACAGAAATGCGATTGTGGCCGGATCATCATCATCATTATGTCAACAAGTGCATCCAGCCAAACGTGTCTATAGACTTTCGATCCCCAACACTGCAATGTGAAGGTATCAACCGAGATCATGTTATAAATGAGAGCCTTCATTCCTAGAGACCCACAAGTAATAGATGTAGCTGGAAAGTTTAGCTGTCGGGGTCCGAAAAAGTCTGGTTGGTGCTGGCCAAATATGGTAATGGAAAATTCACAAAAAGTTGTCTTTCGACCGAAGCCAGTTGTGTAGCTTCTACCATTCTCAAGAAAGTAGCTGGCTTGAGTAACGGTTGTGCTTCTTACCGTCACACGCATCAAGCCATCACTTATATTCTATAAGCTGTTGTCTCTCATGTTTGAGTTGCAAGAGGCAAGGGACACCAAGTACTCCCTAACATAGGTTTGTCTAGTCTATGATCTTTGGCATTGAAGCACAAAGGAAATGTTTCTCAGTGCAGCCCAGCGGATCAATGTGATAGAAAAAACCTTCGTATAATGTTCAAATTCGGTCATATGGTGAGCAGATGGCTATGGTGTGCTTCGTGTATGTAAGAAAACGTTAGCCCATTGATGAAATTCAAATAGATCCCACATTTACCACACAGAAATAAAAGAATCACGACTCACCGATATTGTGTTATTATATCAAATAGTTGGACACGTGTCACCTCGACACGGCGAGTGGCTCTCCAATACGCATCGTAATGTGGCCGATTCGAGTTCCGAAATCCCCCAGTGGTCACAGGGGAGATAAAAGAATCGGAAGTATCAGTCAGGCCCAAACGAACTGGTTCCGATATTCTTGGTGCAGTCAAGCACAGGTGCAACTGGTTCTCTAAACATGCGTTACGGGTTTGTAAAAATTTCAGTCGTAACTCTTGCTCGGTGAACACACCAGTGCGACGCAATAGCATTACCACCTGCGAGGGCAGTAGATGAGAGCGAAAGGCGGGAAATGAAATTCACAGAGAACACAAAGTAAGAGAGCTATGGCAGTAGCAGTTGAAGATCCATGGAAAATCAAAATTCGACTTGGTATGGGTAAGTGCTAATGAGGTGCGACTCAGAAGTCAGCTCTCACGTCGGTAACCGTAACAAGATGCTGTGCGTCAAGATTGAATTAGGTAAAGTAGACCGACAATGTAACTGAATTTTGTCCTATTCAGCA